CAGCCCCTGGAAGAACTTGTTGTTTGCTCGGGAGGATCATAACAGGGATCCTAAGGTGCCCCAAAGAGGCATCCAAGGCACCGCTTTCGGATCCTCTTCGTAAAAGATCACTTGTAATTGATCCCTGTTCATCACCCGCCCATTTTCGCCATGCCCCCAGTGAAGACTGTTGTCGGACGGCCGTCGACGGTCGTCGGACTGGGAGCACTGAGTAGCATATTAACCCTCATAATTTGCTATCTCCGCCAGGTCTCTAACCTCCGGATCAGCGGCAAAGGTGCTTGAGAAGGAATAGTGCCTTCCTTATACAGTATAGCTTAAGTCCTGAGACCGTGTTGAATCTCGTTAGTTGGTTTCCTCAACCCCGTGAGCCTGCCAACCAAATCCATTACGGGACCTCTTTATATGGGAAACCTCGCTATTACGAATGAGCCCTCTAGGAATTTACACCCCTGCCCATCTGCTCCCATACAAGTGGCCCTCGATAGGGAGTTCCTTACATAACCTCGCCATACTGAAGGAAAAATCCGGAACTCTTGGCGTTTGTTATAACGAGGTGTGACTGTATGGAGGTATCTATAAGTTTCGTATGTTCCACGGGAAAAAAGTACAGATGTCTTGCTCGGGGGTTTGTGGGACACCGTCTGTCAATCGTATATTATAAAAAGGACCTTTCAACGGCACAAAAAAAAATTTGCAAAAAAGAGCGATAAAACCACAGGCTCTATAAACATGACCAGATTACAGCGGCCCAAACATAGCATTGAGGAGGGGAGGGGGTCAAACGTGTACGACGGTCGGTTAAAACAAACAGAGCACAAAAGGGAGGAGGAGTTCGCAAACAAACATCTCATCTAAGAATTGCCAAACCAGCCTCTAAGAACTGAAAAAGAAAAAAAGAAAAAAAGAAAAAAAGAAAAAAACTTTAAGAATACTAGATGTGAAAAAAACAAGGTGGGGAACAAAATATTGGTTGTTTGGTCGTCGTTTCAAGTACCAGGGTCAGGTGGGGGAAGAGGCGTGCTTTCCGGTGGGGTGCAATATTTTGTGACATTTCCTATCGTACCTATTGGTTTTCATATACCGCATTAGTTGTAATATTTATATAAGATATAAGTACTATATATGACTTAACTGACTTAAGCTGTAGTAGTACCACAGTCCTTTCTCCCAGATTTTATGCATTTCTCGAGATCTGCAACAAACAGTTGCATTGGTTTTTTATTGCCTAATAGAGCGGTCATTGTATGGTGGGCTGTAGTTAAGGAAATTCTCTTATTATCTTCAACCGATTTCTTCACCTCCTGGATTGTTTTTTCAACGGTGTTGGTTTTCTGGTCGAGGTGCACAATTTTCTGGTCGAGGTGCACAATTTTCTGGTCGAGGTGCGCAATTTTCTGGTCGAGGTGCTCAATTTTCTGGTCGAGATGTTCAAATTTTGTAGAGAGGTCTTTGGCAGCTTCTCGGCGTCCTGCACGGCTCTCTACAACAAGGAGGAGCGATCCTGCAAGTGCACCGGTAACCGTAAAAGCTCCACCAATAAATGGGCCGGGATGGGTCCTAATCAAGACCCTGGTCCACAGGTATGCTACTGTATTAGCAGTAATCATAGAATATGGTAAATTGGATGGACATACCCGAGTTCAACATAGATCGAAACAGTGCCATGGGTTATTGGTTACACCAAGTAACTATTTAAAGACAGCAAATCAATACCCTGTACCCCCCCAGGTCAGTAATGTGTGACTGAAAAAAGCTTACTGAATTGTATGATATTTGTATTGTCTTCGGAGTTCAGTAACTCGCCGTCAGTCCGGGAGTGATATGAGAAAAAGAAATAAAACAATATGTCGTAGGGGTCAAGTTTGATGAGATAGGGGTGGGCGTTGATTATCAAGAAGAAAGAAAGAGAGAGGGAACAAGTGTTGATTACCAAGGGTGAAGAAAGAGAGAGAGAACAAGCAAGCGAGAGGAAATGGGAAGAAGACAAACAAACATGATTTCAGAAAGGGGACCAAAGGCAGTGGACAGAACCTTACACACGAGCTGAGTATATCCTAGAATGTAGATGTAATCCTGGGTGTTCACCTTTTTCAACCCCAATTTCAAGCACTCAAGTCAGAATACCATATTTACTCGTACAATCCACTATCTCCACCAGTCTTCTAATCTCCATGTTCAGAGACAAAACCCCCTAAGAAGTATTAGTGTTTTCCTCACACTGTAAAGCCTGAGTGTTCTGACTGTGTTGATCTCATTTAGAGGCATTCGCAATTCTGTTAACCTCTCAAGCTAAACCTCTTCTGGGCTGGGGCAAGGATTGACGGAGATTAAGGGTCTGGCGGAGATAGTGGATTATACGAGTATATACGGTATGGTGCAAAGACATCCATTGCAAACCGATCGGAGCTGTTCCAAGACGCTACATAGGATGAAAATACAAGTACAGGTATAGACACTGTACGGTATTCCTGAGTTGTATTATTTTTATCTTATCATACATCATTGTGTCTCCCCTACCGTAGTCTACCCCTCTTCACAGATTTTTCAGCATGGCTCTCCGTACATTCTGTCCCCTGTTTCACCCCTACCCAAAAATTGACTTTTTGACCTCTTATTTCATAAAATTGACTACCTCTCCACACTTTTCTTTCTTCAAAATTCATTGTTACGATCTCCTAATTAGTCTTCGGGTTTTGGTGCTTTGGAAATCCTGGTTTGGTACTCTTTGCACTATACGAGTACACTTTCTTGAACTTTCTAAGAGTTATGATACCGTAAAAACCGGTTAAATCCGCTATCAGGGATCGTGACTCGACATTTCGCAATCCAAAACAAAAGGGTTTTGAAAAACTTGACTGCGGAGGGAGGTTGCAACACATACAAAATTTTGCAAAATACTAGTTACGCCACCCGGATACCTATTCTCACCCTATGTGGAGTGTGCCCTTAATACCGAATGATGGGCGATTTGGTACAAGTATGATACCTCCTGCGATGCACCGGGCGCTGGGCTACAGCGATACGCCGGGAGTGCGCAGCCCCTGAAGGAACTTATTAATTGTTCAGGAGGAGCAAAAAAAGGATCCCAAAACACCCGAAAGAGGCATCCAAAGCACCACTTTCGGACCCCTATCATAATATATTACTCGGTATAAGGCTCGAGAGTGGCGTCACCCGCGGCTCCGCAGAAACGTCCATTTTTCCTGGCGGTCGGTCCCTTCTTCCGCCATGATTATTCCGCTCAAGCTAAATTTTCCATTAGAACCTTAAAAAACCGTCTATGATAGCTTAGGTTATGATATCAGTTTTTATTTCTGCCGTCAGTGCAGGTGCTGTTGTTAGCTTGCCGTTTGTACGAGTACGGCGCGGTACTCGTACAGTACATCCACTGTTTTACCGGTATGGGCCCAAGAGCTCAGGAAAGGGCACAAAGATACCACAAATAGTGTACAGTAGATTTATGTGATTTAGAATAGTTGGTTGTTTCTTTTGGTTTATTTTATTTTTTTCCCTATATCAGCATCATTATTTACAAGGTGAGCTGCAAGGTCATGTCTCTCAGGTGCCGGGCAGCGGCGGGGTTTTTTGTTCTGATGTTGAGAGATTTATAGCAACTGACAACACCTGGGTAGTGCGGGGATTTCGAGTTACATATCCTTTGTTTTACTCTTCCATACTATGCAGTTGATCTGTGCCAGTAGGTCTCATAGATTTCAGTAAAATATTCCTTGCATCATAGTCCACCTTAAGTAAATTATGCCCATAAGATCTTCCGCCAAAAACATCTGGAGTCCTAGGTCCGAGGCGCGCGTTGCCCCACCGTGTGTTTGCTTATGTAACCGGGCTTGAGAAAAGGTGGAGCACAATAAATCCTAGCACGAGAAAGGGCAATACTCTAGCGTGTCTGTCAAGACCAAAAGGTTTCCCACCAATCCCATCCAACAAGTCAGCGAGCCAGAACGAAATCCTCGTCACCTCCCTTTCCGTTTCCTCTTTCCCCTTTCCATCCAACTCAACAGTACTCGTACCTTATCACAGCTGTTGCGTCTCTCTTCGCGTGTCGTCGCCGTCGTCGTCCTTTCTCCCGCCTCCCTCACATTCAACTCAACTCAGGTAGCCTTGTCTTCATCCTCCTCCTATCTTGCTTCCTTCTCCTTCTCCCTTTCGCTTCCGCTCCTTTCTTCCCTTCTTCCCTCCTCTGTTCCTCCCTCCCTCTTTTCATCATCCACTTCATACCCTTCACCTGACCTCTAATTACGCTCGATAGATCTCTTTCTTCTACTCTACTCTTATCCTCTTCGCCCGTCTGATCCCAACCGAGACCCGCCCCGACAGATTTTCACCCGGACCTGTTCTAGTTTCTCCTGGCAGTTTATTCTCTGTTCTGTTCAAGCTGAAAGAGACTCTGTTTCCTTTGTCTGCTGGTGAATCAACGCACCTGACCTGTCCTGTACCTCCCTCGTCTGTGAGGAAGAAAATATCGTTTTTTTGCTGGAAACTTTGAGGGTCTCAGGTGGGGATCTTTTATTTCTTGGTGTAAGAAGAAACAAGCGAGCAAAGTTGTACCGTGCTACAAGAGGGAAAAGAGAAGCTTAGTATTCACACTTCCCACAGTGTACGTATCACCACCCTTTTTGTTCTGTATCGAGTCTTGCCCGTGAGCACATACGCTGGCTAAGATAACCGGTCGAGGTGTTGATTGCTCTATTTCCTTGCTCTCTGGAATTTCTCGTACTCTTTTCTTTTTCTTTGATTTCGTTCTCATCTCATCCCCTCTTTCTCTCCCTGCTTTGCTCAGACTTGATTGCTAGCTCCAAATGCGTCTCTTTCTCCTGTTACGTTTTTTAACTTTTTCTTGGAAGCTGATCTGCGGTATGGCTTGTACAGACCCTGTATCTTGTTGCCTGACAGGTGAAGAGAATTGTTAGTGAGAAGCAAAGCAAGTCACCTTAAGAAAGAAGCAGTTTCATCAATCTCGTGAAAATCTCGAATACAAAATGGCCGACGATTTCGACATCGATATTTACGGCGATCTTAACCCTGACGAACCAGCGACCACTTTCAAGAAAGAGGATGAGGATTTGTTTCTTGACCAAAACCAGGGAGACACTAATGGCGATAATAAGCAAAATACTGCCGCAGGTGAAGACACCAACATGGGTTCTGCAGCAGGTGATGGTGATAACTCTGGCAACTCCGCGGTTGTAAAAGAAGAGGCAGCAGTCCAGCCGAAACAGAAGAGGAAGCTTGATGATAGACCTTTTGACCCTGCCGCTACCACAGCTCTCTATGTCGCCGATTTGCACTGGTGGACTACCGATGATGACATCCGTGGGTGGGTAAACGAGTGCGGTTGCGAAGACGAATTGAAAGATATTACCTTTAGCGAACACAAGGTTAATGGTAAATCCAAAGGGTAAGTCTTTTTCCTCACTATCTAACCATCTGAAAGCTTCGCTAAGTGTTCTTGTCGATATAGGGTTGCTTTTGTTGAGTTTACTTCTCCCCAGGCTGCAACAGCTGTTAAAAATAAAATTGAGGTTGGAGGAAGTCAGCCAGCTTACATGGGTAAACGGCATACGGTCTCTTATACCAATCCCAGCATCAATCCGTTTCGCACACTTCCGAAAGACGCCCCCCAGCGTGATAGGCCCCGCGACGGGTTTCAAGGCGGAAGAGGTGGCAGTGGCGCTAGTAGTGGGGAGCGTGGTGGTCATTCCGGACCACCAGCTGTCCAGCCTTCCGCAATCGGTATGTCAGGAGGTATGAACTCTGGTGGAGGTTTTAGAGGTAATCGTAGTGGATTCGGGGGTCCAAATCGCGGCAGCATGGGAGGTGGGTTTGTCGGCAATCGCGGCGGTTTCGGAGGCCCAGTCGGTGGCCCGCAATCCCCCCAGCCTGGTTTCCAAGCTCCCATGGGCAACTTCGGTGGACAAGGTATGCCAATGCAACAATTTGGTGGAGGGAACTTCCAAGGGGGTAATTTCCCCGCCGGCAGAGGTGGTATGAATCCTATGAGGGGCGGACCAGCAGGTATGAGAGGCAGAGGCGGCATGGGACACAACGGTATGATGGGCGGTGGCATGGGTGGTATGGGCGGTAATATGGGCGGTGGAATGGGAATGGGTGGTAATATGGGCGGTATGGGTGGCAATATGGGTGGAAGCATGGGCGCCGGTAATATGGATGGTGGCTTCAATCCTATCGGAATGGGAGGCTTCAACCCCATGGGTATGGGTATGTATGGTCAAGGATTCCAACCGTCTGCGCGTTCACTTACGACCTACCCCAATCAAGCAGGCCCTGGGGGATTTCCGGCTCCTCACTTTAACCCGGCATTCTTTCCTAGTGGTCCACAAGGAGGCAACCAAGGCCAATGGGACAACCCACATCCAGCAAAGAGGCCTCGCCCCAATGAGTAGCGGTTAGCATGATTTAGGAAAAAAAGGTCTTGCTATGAAAAACCATTGGTGGATCCTGGCTATGGGCGCTAATTTTGCTAATTTTTCCACTCAAATTCTTTCTTGGCTTGCGCTTCAGTCTCGGGGGTGGTGGTGGATATGAGGGGATTTGCAGTGGAGGGAAAGTGTTATGGGCATCGTAGTCTTTTTTTCAATCGTCTCCCTTCCTTTTTTTTCCTTCCCATTTTCTTTTTTCCCTTGGTATTCAATTTCTTCCCCATGTAGTTTATCGCAAAGGCTTTTTTTAGTACAGTTTCCAAAACACAATCTCGGAGTTTTTTCCTGCAGTCTTTTTTCTCTTTTTTCCCTATTTTCTTAGCCTTAGTTTTCCGTATGTCTGGTCCGTATTCCCTACCCGCTTTCTAGGCTTCCTTGTTCTCTTATATCTTTTCTGGAAAGCACGAGGAGTACGTGAATGTTTCTGTGAGCGCCGTGATTAGGGGATTTGATTGTTGGAAGGAGGGTGTATTGATACTATCATACTCGGCTTTTGTTAACTTGAACCGGTTGTTTTTTCATTTTTCACATTTTCTTTCCCCACGAATTGTGGGGGAAAGCCTTTTTTCCTCTTTCTTTTTACAGTACCAAAAGATGGATTTCTCTCGCGGTACTGAAGGTGGGCTGGTATATAATGGATCATACCTTTTTTCATGGTGGCAGCGAGTACAGTTGGTGTTGTGGTACTACCGGTATTGTTGTTGTGGGTGAGTGCCTGTTATTTCTACATTGAAAAGCTCGGTATGGAGTTTTTTCGGTGCTCAGTCTTAGTGTATGAACTACTCGAGTATGATACCAGTATTTCTATTACTCTTAGGGTCAGTGTGATATGGTATGTGTTAGGACAGTCACTTGGGGAAAGTCTGGACTAGTATCACAATGTTATATCTGTTGGAGTCGAATTACCTTGTCTAGAAGTACCAGTACAGTACAAGTACTATCATCATTGAAAGTGTCTCCAGCCGTTAGCCCATTTCCCTCTCAATCTGCCGCATGTGGGCTTGGCACCATCCATCCACCTCTGCGGTAGACCATAAGTTAGTGTGCTCCATAATTCTATCAAACAGTAAGAGGAAGGGGTGATGCATGTGTGTACGAGTAGGGTTACCGCAGAGGCAAATACAAAACCTCTAGAGCCCCTCCTCCATAGAATGGCTTTTAGGGTCCACCATAAGTATTTCTCCCCGTCACGGGGGGATCCTCTGATAAATCACTGACCCTCACACTCCAAGTGCGCTGCATCAAATTGCTGTCCTCGCGCGGTATCATATCATACATACGAGTACAGCAAACAGCGGGGGACCCAGGGCGGGTCTTAGGTTAGTCTACGGTTTGGAATCCCTGCTCGCAGAGCCGCGCCAAGTCTTGACCTGAGCTACCGTATCTTTCGCCAAACCAAGACGAAAGCTGGTCCTTTGTCATAGACTCACAATCTAGCGGCGGCACCGAACAACCCTACCACCCCGGCTCCACGATACGCAGGATGGAAATCGCAAAGTCCCTCGTAAAGTGTGTAGCTCGTGCCTTTTACGATACAAAGCATATTCTTGTCCTCGATGCCCTCATGATCCATAACGCGTATGTCCCTTAGTTTTCCGCGCTTGCCTCGGAGGCTCTTTTTTTTTTTTTAATACTCTCCCAATGTTTTCGCTGCTGACGATGCAGTGTTCGCGATGATGAGCTGGGGAAATTGTTGGGCTTTCAATCTAAGGACTTACAAAAATTATGCGGGAGGCTGAAGGAAGATCGCATGCTCGCTGTGTCGGTCCCCGAGGCTTTTATGGGGAGTGTGCAGGTTTCTGACTAACTTGATGGATGTAGGCATAATCGGCCAGAACAGAAGGAAGGGCAACAGCGACCGACAAACCGGACTTACTACTACGTTGAGTTCAGGAGCACAATCGACGCTGTCAAGTATCGCATGCACGGCGTTGTCAAGGACGTGGAGAAGAAGATGAATAAGGACGCTGACACAAAAGGATATGTATGTCCATACTGCCAGAAGAGGTTCTCAATCCTGGATGCGATGTCGGTGGCTCGCGATGAGATGGGGCTGTTTGTTTGCGATCGGTGTAATACTACACTTGTGGATGACGATGATAGCGCCGAGGTCAAAACAAGTCAGGAGCGGTTGGGGAGACTAATGGAGCAGATGAAGAAGATTATTGATATGCTAAAGATGATTGACGAGATCGTTGTGCCGGTGTAAGTGTTTCTTTTGGTATTCATGAGTTGTGTTAACGGTTGACGTTCGCAGTAATGATTTCGAGACCGCCATTGCGAATTCTGTTCCTGTGCCTCGAGATAAGAATCACCTCTACTCAGTCCCCGTCGCTGGGAAAGGCGCCACGAGCACCCGAAGCTCCGGAGCCCCTGCTTCCATCGAAGTTTCTTTCACTTCCACCTCGGAGAAGACAGCTGCTGAGCTTGCCTCAGAGCAGGCGATGAAGCAAGCCCAGGCTGAGAAGAACGCACTTCCGGTCTGGCACACCAAGTCTACCGTTGACCCCGGCGCTACGACCACCGCTGGGGCCAAGGAGGCTGCGGAAAGGGAAGCTCGTGCCCTCGATGGTATTGGAATTGCGCAAAAGTCCAAGGAGGAGGAAGGCAAGAAAGCTGCTGCCAGTAACGGGGCGAATGGCATTCAGGCAGACGGTAAGGTGATACGCTGCCCCCTCTGACATGTTTACTAAACCGGTGGTGCATTAGCTATCGCTGAATATTATGCCGCATTGGCAGCCCAGAAGGCCAAGGAAGCCCAGGAGGAGCAAGAAGATGATGATGACGACGAAGAGGAAGAAGACGGTGAGGAGGGGGCGCGGGGGATTGGGGGTGGGCGGCACGAGGAGGAAGAAGAAGACGAGGGTGAGGACGACGATGAGGACGACGATGACGAAGGAAACTTTGAAGACGTTGTCAATAGCAACGCTTTCACTCCTCCTACTGCTACGAATTCAATTAAGGTTAAGGATGATGACTCAGATGATGACTCCACGGCCCCCGCTGCTAAAAAACCAAGGCTTACTGAGACTGAGGACAAAGAAGAAGGCGGAGAAGAGGACTCCGATGAGGAGGCTGACTTTGAGGACCTGAAATTGTAGCTGGAACGATCGACGAGATGTGATTTCTGCTGTCTCTCCATGTTGCCTGAGTCTTATCATGTTTTTTTTTGGCACTTTCTCTCTTCCTGTTTTAGTACTCGAGTAGTCACTATTTGTTTGTTAGATTTGGGTAGGTCAGCGTAATAGAATAATGTATTATAAATTGCTAATGGGAGCGACGGCTTAAAATAAATGGCTACTGTATTCTGGCCTTGTATTTTTTTTACTGTCATGTTATTTAGGACTAAATAATATCGAACGGTCGAGGATCCCTTGTGAACCCCTGATGCCAGCCCCAAACCCTAAACCCCGGGACCCCGGTTTGAAGCGAGAATTCCCGATGGAGAGCAGAAAACATCTCCCTCCACAATCCACTCTCTATCAAAGTAATCCCACAACCCCCCCATCTCCATCAACTCCATTCGATCATGATGTCCATGCGACTAACCAAGGGTCTCGTGGGTAAGCTCATCTTTCCTGCACTCCAAATCTCACCTCTCCACAATGCTCCAATGAAACTAACAGCGGGGTCGAAACATCTGCAGGAGCGACCCGCCTCCGTCCAACGGCCGCACCCTTACCAAAGCTTGTACCGGCAATCAACATCGCTGCGACCCGCTACCAATCAACCGGAACCCCAGCGCCGGTAGACCCCAAGGAAAAGGCCCAGTCCCTACTCGATGCTCTCCCGGGATCCAGCCTCATCTCCAAAACCGCAATTATCTCCTCCATTGCAGGTCTCTCGGTAGCCGCGATCTCCAGCGAGCTCTACGTCGTGAATGAGGAAACATTGGTGGCCATCAGTCTCCTCACGGTATTCTACGGCGTCGCCCGTATGGGCGGGCCAGCGTACACTGCTTGGGCGACCGCGCAGGTCAACAAGATTCGCGACGTCCTCAATAATGCTCGGGAAGACCATACCCGTGCCGTCCGAGACCGTATCGAGAGCGTGCAGCAGATGGGTAGTGTCGTGGAAGTTACGAAGGGGCTTTTTGAAGTTTCGAAGGAGACAGCGAGACTCGAAGCTACGGCTTTCGAGCTCGAGCAGAGGACTGCATTCGCTACTGAGGCTAAGAGTGTTCTAGATAGTTGGGTCAGGTACGAGGCGCAGGTTAAGCAGAGGCAGCAGAAGGAGTTGGCCGAAAGCATGATTGCAAAGGTTAATAAGGAACTGGAGGACCCAAAGAAACTGAGCCAGATTTTGGCCCAAAGTGTTCAGGATGTTGAGAGTATGATATTGCCCCTCCTCTCCTTTTTCCTTAGTCTTCTGGAATTTCTTCAGGGTTTCTTCCGCTGTGGGTTGACTAATATTTTACCCCTTCGATAGGAATCTTTTCCGCTAGAAAGTAAATATCTCGGTTGCCCGCTTCATTTCCTCGGACTTTTAGATTAGGGGTAGTTTAGGTGGTGTTGCCCTGATCACTACGGAATACCGAGATATTTTTTTCTTTTACATAAAACAAAAAAATTACATCACTGGTATTGGTATTTTTCAATTGGTTTTTCTTTTTTCCTCGAGATTTCTTTTTCCAAGCAATTAGCATAGAGCCCACTGAAGGCAATGCAAGGCAAAAAGAAAAAAAAGAAAACGGGAAAGGGTCTAGACCACTCTGCCACTGTTTTATCAACGGGAGAGAGTGCAAACTAGACGCAACTATTCTATACCAAAAGCTTGTTGAAAACAGTTGACAAAGCTGGTGTGCCTTGAAAAAGATTGTGTTAGGTTTTTGTTTTTCGAGATCCACTGCTACGAACCGAATGCCATCTCCTTTTTTATCTATGTTGGGGATTAGCGACGGTTGAGTTGGTATGCATAAATAGTTTTGTGAGGACTTACGTTCGCAATAGCCCGGCCAGGATTCAACCCCTTGGGGCAGGTTCTTGTACAGTTCATGATGGTGTGACATCTGTAGAGGCTCATCTCATTCTCAAGAGCGCTCTTTCTAGCACCCTTGGCCTCGTCTCTAGAGTCTGCCAACCACCTATACGACTGGAGAAGGACAGCTGGGCCGAGGTAGTCGGATGAGTTCCACCTAGGGAATGCTAGTCAGCTACTGTTATCTTATGAAACCTCCACGTGTGTGGGAAAGAAACAACCAGTAAGATGGGCAAGAAGTCGAGCAACAAGCGCAAAGAATACACTCGTATAATCCATCAAGTTTTTTCCTCTCTTCTACGGACTGGCGGTACTCCCTTCCATCGGGAGAGGGAGTCTTGCGCTGGAGATATGGCTTGATAGACTTGTACTGCTTGTAGAACTGTGTAAGATCCGGAACCAAATCCTTTACGACGTAGGTATGCGGAAGCGGGTAGATCTTGACAGGGGCAGAGTTGGAGACATCGATACGACCTGTCCACAGACACATTAGCAACCTTCCTTCACAAAGGAATGAGATCAAAAATTCAAGGAACATACACAAGCAAGCTAAAGTGTTGCTCCCCTGTATATTCATCGCACAACTCCCGCAAATCCCCTCGCGACAAGAGCGTCTAAAAGTGAGCGTAGGGTCAACCTCGTTCTTGAGTCTGATTAAAGCATCTAGCACCATGGGCCCGGTCTGGTCCATGTCCAGTTCATAGGTCTGCATGTAAGGCTTCTTCTCGGGTGTGTCTGGGTTCCATCTGTAGATCTGGAATTGCTTGATGTTTTCCTTCTTCGAACCGGACCCGGCGGGGACAGTCTGGGAGGCTGTGACAGATGCTAATGTGCGGAGGCCAGTGGTGAGCTTGAGAGATGTTAAAGTTGCGCGGCGCAACGAGCGGGAGAGGAATGTGACATTCATGGCGGAAGTTGATGTGGGTATGGATGATAAGGTGGGGGAGAGCAATGTGTGGTTGAGAGGAGGAACGAGGAGAGAAAGAGAGAGTAGTAGGTGAGGCTCTAATATTTGGCGAGTAGCGAGGGTAAGGGCGGTTATTGAGGGGAAGTATTGAGGTGAAATGAGGTTTTGGGCAAAAGTGCTCGTGATTGACAGGAAGAATCTGGTGAAGTCCAATGAGCCGAGGGAATAGGAATGCTGACATAACGAAATGGATAGGCTTTGATTGGCTGGAGATCAGTCACCATGGCGTCACTCGCATTCCTTTACGTTTTTGGTATCTTACCTCAAAGTCTCTCGAAACCCCTTGAACCAGCCCAAGACGATCTCTTGGGTAGGAGAAGAGTTTATCCTTATACTATACTCAAGTACTCAAGTATGGCTACTAGTAGACTAATGAGCGGTATTCGCGTCCAATAAGTTTCCGTACACGAAATAATGTAAAAACAAAAACCCGCAAGAAACCCCTATAAATGACCCCAATGAATCCAATTCTGCGCCGAACTCAATATGACACATAATACAATAGAACTACCGCGCAATACTGGAGGGTCTCTTATAAAGCACTTAGAAAGCACCCCTGAATTGATCCAAAATCTGCCGTACAAGAGGTCTCTGGCCAGCACCCTGGTTGGCATCAGCCACACCCTCTCCTTCCCTCAGTCTTCTCCTAAGATTCTCAAATTCCGCACCTTGGTTATCTTTGAATAGCCATTTGGGAATTCTCCATTTCGACTTCGGCAGTAGATCCATCCTCCAGGCATATCCCGCGGTCCACCCAACGGCTACCGACAGTAACGATCCCGGAGGCTGGCAAAAGGCGAGTTGAGTGGATAGTAGGTAGACATAGAATTTATCGGATAGTGTAATGCCTGGCCCCTCCTCTCCATTCGAGCTGGTAGATGTGAGCAGGCGAAACCTGTAAACCCCGGGAACCATAGCGTGATATTGGGCCAACGCAGCAAAGAGAATTGGAGTTGGGCCGGGTGGAAGGTAGTTCATTTGACCAAAAGTAAGCGGGCGAAATACAGCGGCTAACAGGAACGGTGCTGCAATATTTGTGGCGACAAAACAGTAAGCGAGGAAAGAAGCGTATTTCCGGGTCCCGAATAGGCGTTCTATAACCCTAAGGTGATAAATCACCAAGGCCCCAAATAGCAGCTCGCCTGCATTTGCGTAGCATGTCTGGTGGAAAGTTATGGGTGTTATAATCCTAGCTGTACGATACTGGGAGGGAGGTTGTTGGTACTGACCTGCCAGAGGAAAATTCGCCAAACTTGTCGGTGGACCCACAGATGAGGAATTATTTGTATATGGAAATAGTGTTTGATGTCGAGTATTGAGGCTAGGAGAGATGAGGCGACTATGAAGTAGAGGAGGGCTTGTGAGACCGGAGCAGAACGAAAGCCAGATTGTTGCATTATTCTGAAGTTGGTCGAGACCCGCAAGGGGTCCACTTGTTGGAAGTGGTGTGAGAAGAGGTTATCCGGCACTTGTATTCGTTATATTGTCTCTTGCCTTTTCCTTTTGGCTTTGGTTCGAGATGTGATTCGAGGTGAGAGGTTGAAGATTGAGATTGTTATTTGGGAGTGGGGAGGACACGTTCCTTACATTATGCGAATTAATTTGGTAGGACAGGGTTGCCTCCCATGTTACAGCACAGGTTTATGTCATTGATGGTCATACACAAGACTTTAGCGAGCATCTCGTGTTCTAGCCGCCTCGCTCCCTCACCCCGCCCCACCAAACAGATACATCTCTTTCTCCCCATCCACCAAATCTTTCTTTTCAATCAACAAACTGCCGTCCCGTCTGACCTACTGGGGAACCTTACACGATGGCTGAAATGGACGAGCAACCCCCCGCGCTTCAGGTCGAGGCTCTTCCCACTCAAGAGGTGCCAGTTCCCGGAAACCAAGAGCAAAACATCAATCCATTCACAGTCGAAGGAGCCATGGTTGACGGTAAAGTTGTCGCTATCGATTACGAGAAACTCATTAGGGACTTTGGTACCAGACATATTTCTCCTGAGCTTCTCGCCCGCTTTGAGAAGCTTACTGGGTGTAGGCCCCATCAATTTCTACGAAGAGGAATGTTCTTTTCCCATAGAGATTTTGAGAGAATTCTCGACCTTTATGAACAAGGGAAGCAATTCTACATCTATACCGGGAGAGGTCCTAGTAGTGAGAGTATGCATCTTGGGCACATGATTCCCTTTATGTTTACCAAGTAAATATGAACCGCTACCTTTTTCTTGATGTTTGCTAATTCGAAGTAGGTGGTTGCAGGAAACATTTGACGTTCCACTATGCATCATGTTGACGGATGATGAGAAATTTCTTTTCAAGCAAAACCTCACCATCGAGAACGTTAAAGGCTTCGCCCGAAAAAACGCAAAAGATATCATCGCGATGGGCTTTGATGTAAACAAGACATTCATATTCTCTGATCTTGATTATATGGGAGGAGCTTTCTATGAGAATATTTTGAAAGTAGCTCGTTGTATTACTACAAACCAGAGTAAAGCAACGTTTGGTTTCAACGATAGGTAAGTCTCTCGATTTTTTCTTATGGATAGTGTGTTCTTACACGAGGAAAGTGACAATATCGGCAAGCTGCACTTCACCGCCGTGCAAGCCAGCACGGCATTCTCAACCACCTTCCCTCACATATTTGGTGACGATCCCATCAAAGTGAGACAGATCCCGTCCTTGATCCCTTGTGCTATCGATCAAGATCCGTACTTTCGCCTTACAAGAGACGTCGCTGGAAGATTGAAGTACCAAAAGCCAGCTTTAATTCATGCAAAATTCTTTCCAGCCCTTGGGGGCTCTGGTAGCAAGATGAGTGCCAGCATCGATACCAGCGCGATCTTCATGAGTGATACTCCGAATGCAATGTTTGTTTTGACATATTTGAGTGAGTCAGATAACCGAGTGCTAATCTATGATTATAGTCGGAAGAAGATCAACAAGTATGCCTTCTCCGGGGGGCAGACAACTACTGAGGAACAACGCCTGTATGGAGGTAACCCAGATGTCGATGTCTCATTTCAGTACTTGACTTTCTTCCTTGAAGACGACGAAGAACTAGAAAGCATACGTCAATCATACCTAAAGGGTACTCTCCTCACTGGAGAACTTAAGGCCAGGTGTATCAAGGAGCTACAGGACTTTATTGCAGCCTTTCAGGAGAGAAAGAAGGCCGTTACGGATGAGATTTGCGCAGAATTCATGAGGCCAAGGTCACTTACTTGGGGCCACGGCCGGCCTAGGGATGGGGATGTCGAGAGCGTTGTTGAGAAGGTCAAGTCGGCTACTGTTGGTTAGATCAATGCCATTGCGGTTTTCGGGGCCCGTCGATATGTAGATCAGAACATAACAAATACCCATTCTCGTTCTCAGAATCGGGTCCTTGGTGCTTGGTGCTTGATTCATGCCTATCCTTTGATCCGACACCGGGAGGTAGACCTAGGAAGATAAGGCGTTGTTTCGGAACTTGACGGTAGAATGGCTGTTATTCTATTTTCTAAATTGCACTCGTAGTAGTGGGATGTTGTATAATATTGGACTCCACCCAGCCTGGGTTCGTGGAAATTGGTGGGCACAGGCGCTGTGCGGATGTCGCCTGGAAAAAACCAGCACAGAGCGGGAGAGTATGCAAATAGGGTATGGGAGTCTGGTTAAAATAGAGCAATTTTTCTTGGTTTGCCTATTCTTGTCAGACCAACTGCTTCCGGACAGGGCCCCACCTTGGGGAGATAACCGACTGCCGATCTGACGAGAAAATAGGTAAACCTAAACTAAGGCTTTGGTTATACAACTAAAAATCCGCCCACCCGCCCATAAAAATCCGCCCGTCTAAAAACGCCCGCTCGTCGATCCGATCTAAAAATCTCTATCATCTCACTCACGGTCAGCGTATATACTGTACGAGGGGGTGGAGAAAAGTGATCGGAAAACCGCTAATTTGACCAACTGTTGCCACAGATGGCCAGAGAGCAGCCAATCAGGTTTCAAATATAATGTGAGGAAAAAAGTGATCGGAAAGCAGAAGATCTTCCCATTCTAGTATGATGTAGCCATACCACCTGCTGCAATCACAGCTTCAAGGCGTTCTGGCATACTACAAATTAAGCCATCCAACCGGTCAACCCCAATAGAATCCCAAACAGCCTTCACTGCTGTAATTAAAACCTCTATGTCTTTGATTCTCCAAAAGGTCTCTCCTAACTCAGTCTCCAAATCACCCCATAGCGCCTCGATGAGATTTAAATCCGGGGATTGTGGAGGCCATGCGAGTTGCTCGACATTGTTGATTTGACGGCAATGCTTCGAAAACTTCTGATATCCTGAGGCACCATCTTGGACAACCTATTTTGTTACTATTAGTAATTAATAAAATCTTATTTAAATGTGTGTTCATATAATATTACCTGTGTCCAGCCATATCGTTCACAAGTTTGATGCCAAAATGGGATAAGAATAGGATCAAGGATGTGAGTAACATAATACCTAGAGTCGACCTTGGTTTTTGGAGGAATAGTATGTAAAATGGTCTTCATTTCACCACAAAATCCACCCCAAACTATTACACCTTCCTTTCCTGACTCCCAGGTTTCATCGATGCAATCGGCATGAAACTCTTCGTCTGGCCTACGTAAAACCCAGGGCCGATGCCCAAAGCCCATAGTTGTAAAGGTAGACTCATCTGTCCATACCGTTCATAGCCAATCGTCATATGTCCAATGGAGTCGTTCCTGACACCATTGGACGCGAAGAGGTTTATTCTTTTCACGAACGCCAAATCTAATATTATAATTAATTTATACAATTAGCTCTAATTTCTATAGATTTAAATATAAAAAAAACAAATACTGAAATAAAACAATTTGAAGTAAGATTAAAAGAATATACTTTTTTTGTGGACACCGCTTATAGTATCCCATTGATGCACACACATTACGAAGTGTGCGAACAGAGCAGCTATATCCAAGTGCTTCCAAAATATCCTCCCATGGTAGGCGACGAGTTTGCTTATCAGTCGTGATGAAGCGTTGCTGTCGTTCTTTTTCTGCTTCATCAAAAATGGGCAGTCGGCCGGTATGATATTTGTTTGTTGGTGTGTTATCGGCTTTCGAACAAGTGTAAATATCATGACAAGTACTTAACTTTATATTAACAAGGGCTGCAATATCTTTCCACTTCATTTTCGCTTCGTCACGAAGGGTAATAATACGAAGTCGCTCATCTCGGGTTGTTTCTCGATGTTTTGAATCACCAGGAAAGTACTTGTTCCGCGTTCCCTTTAAATGCATTGTAAGATGTGAAGGATATTCTGAATGGTGTTTTGGTGGTTGCACGGTATTGACCACAGACCTGTTTATATTGGATGACCTCACTCCCAAGATTGGGTTTGGGTTACTGAAACTTGATTTCTGACTTTCACAAGATCCACCAATCATATTCGTTCTGATCACTTACCCTTACACCCTCGTACCACTTAGAGTCGAACTCTGTAACTTACGCTTTATTCTGTTCACGCCCCTCAAGTCCCCTCCCATGCTCCATAGATTCCATGCGCTCCTCCCCGTCTTTAATAAACCTTTTTACCTCCTCCCTATTGTTGTCGCCATCGATTACCTCCATGATTTTCACGGCGGACTGAACGGTGAACGCTTGCATGACATCTTGCTTGTGTTGGGTGTTAGAGGTGATGCGGAAGATGTCGAGCTCCTTTTCGATGTGCTTGACATCCTTTCTGGCGTCCAGTTTCCAATTACTGCTAAGCTACTTTGATGTGGGTGAAGACTTTATGCCTGACTCTTGCACACTACTCCCTGCTGGGGGGTTGTGCACAACCTGTGGGCTGTACCCCTGTAGATATCGGGGGTAAAAGCTTACTACCGGTATTCAATTGTTTCCCCTTGGCTTTCATGGCCAGGCAAACCTTCATCCCCAAAGCTTTCAAGGTACCGTATTTGGCTGGTTGACCTCAAATAACTCTTGCTAACTTCTTGCCGGACCTTGTAGTCCCATGTTCAGGGACAAGGGTTCCTAAGGAGGGCTAACGCCTTCCTAACATGGGATAGTCAAAGGTACCGTATTCAGCTATTCTGTCTCCTTAACTGGCCATCTCAATTCTGTTAATTTGCCAACCTAAACCTATTTTGGGCTGATCTCCCCATTATATATATATATATAGGGTTATTCGTGACAGGCAGAGATAGCAAATCGAAATAGTTTTTACGGTACCCTGAGGTCTGCTGGGACAGACCTCTGAGCGAAACAAAACGATGGGCCCATCTACTCGAGTACCAAAATAAATCCTTCCCTCATTTACTTACAAGCTCTTGTTTTCCATGGAGTCTTGGAGATGTTCGGATGCTTCCACCGCAAACTCTCTGAGAGTTCGCGATTAACACACTGGTTTGTCAGGATATTGGCAGCAAATATATAATCATTGCTCCTTAATTGACTACTATTGGCTGGATGGCGCAACGGTAGCGCGTCTGACTCCAGATCAGAAGGTTGCGTGTTCAAATCACGTTCCGGTCAGCTTCTCTTTTTGCTTTTTATGAGTGCTGGCTAGGGTTCTTGCCCCCTGCTACTAAATGACTGTTTCCTTCAAGTGATCTGTGGAACAATTCTCTCCCTCCCTCCTTCCTCCTACCACAGACTACAAGTGTATTTACTCGGTAGGTCCGTTATCACCTATCGGTCTCCGATCTTCTGATTGGGGGCAGAACATTCCGAGAGGGCATAGTGTTTTCCAGGTGGGATAGCTTTGGGAGGCCGAGCTTGCTAGATCTCGTTCATTAGCATTTATTGTTCTGTTAGCTAACTCCGCTAAGCCTATTGTGGTTTAGACACTGATTTCCATTGAGATCTCCGATACCGGTAATGTATTTAATGAGTTTTTATGGTACAGCACCAATGGAAGAGTGGAAAAATTGGGGGGAGGGGCCATGGCCAGTGGACGATGGTTAATAGGTAAGGTTTTGGTCGGGGTAGTTTTGTTTTTTGTCTTTAGTTTATACTTACACCATCTCGCTTTGTGGCCTGGGTCTACCTCATCTCCGTTCATGCTGTTCTTGAGGGACCATTCGGGACCGAGTAAGTAGAGTTAGCGAAGGCGAGGGGTGTTCTTTCTGTGTCCTGTTAGCCTTCAGCTTACCCAGTCAATAACGGCGCGGATGGTGCCTACCCTCATTTCCTTCTTTTCTTACACTACCGCTTTCTCTCGTGCTCACTTGCTTGTCGGCGGCCTTTGCTCCGGCTACTTGGGTCGTTCGGGAATGGGGGTTGGGTGAGGGGAGTGATGGTGGAGAAATAAAGAAGCTGCAAGTTACTGGCGTATTGTACTTGTTCGTGAATTGGCATTTATTGGTGCCGTTTTAAGGATTCGGTAAGTGTTAGTGTGCGAGTGGTTTGGGTGTGTGGATTTTCTTTGAAGCATACTCCATGGCCGATTTATCGACGAAGCATTACCGAACCGGCATACGCCTGCAGGGATCAAACTCACAACTTAACTGCAAGAAGCTGTGAAGTATAGGCACCGGTTCTACTACTGTCGGAGCACTCTACAATACCGGTACTCGAGTACGATTATGGCGCCAGCGCCTGAGAACCAGCCCTCACGGCACCCAACCTTGACGGAAATTTCAGTTTGCGACAACAACACCTACAAATAGAACTTTTTAAAATTCCTTCTCTGGAGTTTTTCCAATTGGTAATTGGAACAAATTCGCAGAGCGATTTTCTTTTCTGTCCTCCGGCTGGTGCTGTATAGGCCCCCAAAGTTTGCGTAGGAAGGTGCACATTGAGGCTTGCATGGAAAAGGGTTTTTGTTTAATAATTAATAATTAACCAAGATACTCCCTGATAAGGTATAGTCTACTGTCGTGTTAGGACTAGCGTTCTTAATTCGTCGTGAGACCCAGACTAAGTCCCAAGCGGCTGGCACCACACTTCCGTGCCTCTAGACGTTTGGGCATTTCTTGGTGGGTCTTTAGTAGCAATATCTCAGTGTCACCGCCGGTGCAATTGATGTCTCTGAGAGCTTCGAATAGAAGAGGAGAGGTCATCATGACAAGAGTGGCAATGTTTTAGGTTGTATAAATTTGTCGCAACAAGAGGATGTGTAGGAAATTTGGGCAGAATTGTTGGTTCGCTGTTTGTCCAGGAAGAGGAAAAATCTATGTTCGGTGCTCGCTCTCGGTATTGATGGTCGTTTTTATTGTCACCACTCCCAGGGTGGGTCCAACAGCACCTGCATTATCGGACTTGTAGATGGCCGTGCTCCTGACTACGGATAGGACGTGGTCGTAATATGAAATGGTATGGAGTGGGTCTTCATTATGAATTTAGGCCCGCTAGTTTCTACACTATGCTGAGAAAAACAACATCCCTCTCGGCACCATATCCGCAGCGTCTCTGACAGTATGCCAGTGGCTACGATAGTGTGGCTAGCTACACACGCCGGTATTAGTGAGCAAAAGTCCAAAAACTCGTGCTGATGCGGTAACGATCGGAGGTGGCGATGGAAGTGAAAATGGTATTTGGTAATTAACTGAAGGGAGTGAGTTATAACTTAGCATATTCAGGCGGCAGTG